AAATCTTCATATTTCTTCAGCCATTGAGTTATGGAACAATTTGCATGATCATATCAGACATGCGCCTTTAATAAATATTTTTAAATATCGCCTAAAAGAAATGTTTAAACCACAAGCTGTTTCAAAATATTTTGTATACGGATATCGAAGTTTGTTCGCTTGCTTACACGTATTTAGAACAAATGTAGTGATCTTAATGCGGATCTTTATAAAACATCATTTTCGAGATAACTCGTTGTGTAATTACTGTTAACCCAGTTGCTAAAGACGCCCAATATTACTTTATTAATTAAATGTCCCAAATATAAAATAATTAACATATTAATTAGAGTGCAGCTATTCCGCACAACTCTTATCAATTTGGTTTGTGAATGACATATTATTATTCAAATTATTAAATATTTCAGAGAATAACCGTTTGCTGATGTTGTAGGAATTCACTATTTATCCCTTTTGCTACTTTTTTATTACTTTTATGAAATTAACAATGTGTACAAAAAATTAAATATGTTTAAATCAAAACTGTTTTCATCTGTGTAATATGCATTGATAGCATGAGTTCTTCATGATTCACTGATCTCAAGTACTTTCATGTCCTTTAAAAGAGCATCACAAATAATTACCAGAATCATTCAAGTGACATTAATTCATCATGACTATTTAATGTCTTCATTATATGGCCTAATGGTTAACGACAACGTTCAAAGTACAGTACAGTTGAATGAGGACTAAGTTACAATACTTCGATGCGCACCACTTTGTTTTACTAGACAAATTGAAGCTGACATAATTGTATTTATATTCAAGTAAATATATTTACAGAACAGAGTTTCGTTACAAGTATGGCATGATACAGGCTACAGTGCAATCCTGATAAAAACGTTTTAAATCGTGAAATATTTCACAAAATAGGTTAACACTTGTCAATTTAGCATGCTAAACAAATTAATTAAATACATTTGCTCTTTAAAATATTGATTCAAAATGTCTCGTGGATAAAATAAAACATCTTTTATCACAGTTCCGAATATAATTAAAGTTTTAAATGAGGTAAAAAATATACCAGGATTTCCATGCTCCTGTGAATTAGCTTACAGCTATATGCACACATTATACATTGGTTAAATTTACATTATATAACATAATTAGTCTGTTTTTGTTAATTACAATTGTGTATACACATGTTCTTACCCATGTGCAATCGTTAACTCTTTGTTATATATAATACAGTTTATGCTTAAAAAATCGTCACACTTTTCACACTTAATTGGATTAATATAAATAAGTAATGCAGGTAACCTGTTGGTGTGGCTAGTTTGTTTAGGGGATTGCGTTCTGTGAACGTCGCCTTGCCTTGTTGAACTTTGTTCTCAACGTTTTAGCAAAATTCGTGCTGGCAGAACAAATGGTTTCCAACTTTTGATAGACCGAGAACTGGGTGACAAGCTGGGGTTGTCCATAACGGTTGAAGCCAAGTGTAAAAGATTTTGTCATCAAAGAATATCGAGTAATAGTGGAGGAGATAGCAAATTATTTCAGTATCGGTAAGGCTGCGGCACGCACACTAGCATGATCAAAGTTAGTGCTACTTGGGTGCCATGACAACTTCAGCAGTGTAAAAGGTAGCCAGAGTGACCAACGCAAAAGAACACTAAATATCTGGAATAAAAAGTGATCCCTCGGAAGCATTAAAAACAGCAACATTATATGAAAACTGCAGACTCGTGAGATTAAGGCTGTACATGAGGGTAAAAGTGCAACGTTCCTTACGCACTCTAGCACCGGCTTGAGCGGTTTTCAATTTGCAACACTTAACCATGCTGGAATCGATGATCCCGAATGACTCGAAAAATATAACAACACTGAAGTGAAGTACGGGACAGCACTTTACGACTGCCACACGGAACATGACACCTGCTGTTGTGATGTATAAAAATCTATAAAAAGTGATCCCTCGGAAGCATTTAAAACAGCAAAATTACATGAAAACCTCTTTAATCGTGTAGGAGATATGTTTCCTAACTTCCAGTTAATTGTAGAAAAGGAGTTCATTATGCAATATCTGAGACAAATGTTTATTTAAAGTTATGAAAAAAACTGGTTCTCCGGCTACTAAACCTTTAAGCTGTCTCCTTCAGCTGGTAAAGTCATGTTTGCTGCATTTAGGAATTCAAGAGGAATGATACTCATTCATGACAAACACGTTAAACTGTGTTTGCCAAAACCCATACTTTTCTGAAATACTAGTAATTCTGAAATAAAAATAAACAACAACAGAAAAGCTAAAATAAATGCGGCAAAGATCAGCAAATAAAATGGCATCCTTCAAATAACGTCGCCTTCCATACCACTGCAGCTACATTGGATATTTTCAAATCTTTCAAATGGCAATTGTCTCACTTCCCCTATAAATATGGCCTCGCATTTCTTGTTTTATTTGATTTGTTCCTGAACTAACAATAATGCTTGCTGGAGAGGGCAAGGTTAATATCTGCTGATTACACAGTGACTTAATAATGGGTTTTGAGTGGAATATTTACATAATCATTATTTTCATGTGTTGTATTATAACCCTTTCTTGAATATCAGACAGTGATTATCTTCTGTTTACACCGGTGCTAGAAAGACCTGCCTTACACCCCATGTAAGACAAGCCAAGTGTTTTAAAGCCAAGTGCTTAATGAAACTATTAGTTTTCGTAATTTCTTTCCGGAATACGATTCATGTAATACGCAAGAAAAAGAATCAAACATAGGCTGTCGTTACAGACGGGAATGCACAGCTCTCGGGTAACAGTTATGCAGTCACTCGGCAGAGCCTAGCCTGGTTACCGCCGTAAACAGTTACCCTCGAGCTATATATTCCGGTATGTATACCAACAACCGGTGTAAGATTCTTATAAAATAATAAAAGGGTACGGTTAGAGATAGCCGGATCAATTCATCGATAAATCATAATCGTAATGAGATGAATACCATTTGAACTTACTATTTCAACCTAGATCTACATTAAAGCAATATAGATTAAAAATAAATTGAGATTTGAATCAAGGACATCAAGTCCTAGTTTTCCTCAAAGACTATTTATTCCTATTCTAATTTTATCATTTCAAAGGTGTTAAACTATTAATTCCATTATTATTATTATCATGATTATAATTATTATTATTATTATTATTATGACGATGATGATGATGATGATTATTATTATTATTATTATTATTATTATTATTATTATTATTATTATTATTATTATTATTATTATTATTATTATATGTCTTTTTCTAAACTTAAATTTACATTTTATTTGTTAAGTTAGTCATTCATATCAGAATTTCGACAAATATCCACATATTTTGTCATTATATCGTATCGTATAAATATATTTTTTCCGAAATCCAAAAAGCTATGATGTTGATTTTCTGTACTTCCATTGTTCGTTAATATATATATATAAAATATGACCAAGTTCTATAACATGTTTTATATGTGCAAAGAAGGAATTAAACTATATAAATACCTTGATTGTTTTAGTGCACAGCTAAAGTTTACCATATACAACAACATCAGCGGCAACAACAATAGCATCAAGTTTACATAATGATAAGTATAACGCTATATTGTAAAATAGAAGAAATAAAAATGTCTTAAAACTGAATAAATTGTTCTTGTTGTTGTTGCGATGTACATTAGTAAAAAGTGATTTTAATGGTTTTGCCATGCATCACTTAGAGAAAAAGAATAATTTGCAATCATCCACTGAACGTAACGGATCAAAACTTGCCCTTGATGTAAGATCAGGTGTAAGGCAGGACAGAGATTGTGACGTCAGTCTATCAAGGACGAACTGCAAACATTTTATTGTTATCGACATTAAGAATGCGAATCATTCGAGAATATAATTGAATGATTTAATATAACATTGTTGAAACACATGTTTAGATTAATATAACATTGTTGAAACACATGTTTAGTTTAATATAAAATTGTTGAAACACATGTTTAGTTTAATATAACATTGTTGAAACACACGGTAAGTTTAATATAACATTATTGAAACACATGTTTAGTTTAATATAACAGTGTTGAAACACATGTTTAGTGTAATAAAACATTGTTGAAACACATGTTTAGTTTAATATAACATTGTTGAAACACATGTTTAGTTTAATAAAACATTGTTGAAACACATGTTTAGTTTAATATAACATTGTTGAAACACATGTTTAGTTTAATATAACATTGTTGAAACACAAGTTTAGTTTGATATAACATTGTTGCAACTCATGTTTAGTTTAATATAACATTGTTGAAACACATGTTTAGCTTAATATAACATTGTTGAAACTTTAGTTTAATATAACATTGTTGAAACACATGTTTAGTTTAATAAAACATTGTTAAAACACATGTTTAGTTTGAAATAACATTGTTGAAACACATGTTTAGTTTAATATAACATTGTTGAAACACATGTTTAGTTTAATATAACATTGTTGAAACACATGTTTAGTTTAATATAACATTGTTGAAACACATGTTTAGTTTGATATAACATTGTTGAAACACATGTTTAGTTTAATATAAACAGTGGACAGGATATTTCTTCAACATATTAACATATTTCAAGAGAAAGTCATTTAGTAAAACTGTCCTCAATACTTCAATAACATTTGTCATCAAAATATACAGCGACAGATTTTTTACCGATACTATTGGATAAACCTAGACCAGGCAGCCTTACACTTATGATAATCAAGCTTCTCGCATCACAGATACTCGCGACAATAGCTACAGAAAGGACAAGTTGTAATTTGAATATGCCTATAGTTAATTGGAGGAGAATTATTATAACAGATAAGAAGAATGGGTAGAAATAATGTATTGTTATTGACACAAGAAGAAGAATTTGTGAGAAACAAATAATGTAACGCTAAAAAAGTGAATGTGGTTCAAAATAAAAATAAGTGGAGTATTTGCCTGCAATGAATCTTTAGCAAAATGGAAATTCCAACTTATATCTACGTAATCGCACCGTTGCTAAATGCAATCATATTCCTGCTAGGAATCTTTGGAAATATTTGTGTTATAATAGTGATTATAAGAGTTAGAAACATGAGAACGCCGACAAATGTGTTTTTGCTCAACCTTAGCGTTGCTGATGTGTTGGTGTTACTGGTCAGTCAACCTGCAGGTCTGCTGGAATTCTTCGGGAAGGACAGATGGTTTCTAGGAGAAGTTATGTGTAAGTCGGTATGTTTTAAAACAAGGACAAACCTTATGAACACTAACCTCAGTAATGACAGTGATAATGTATGTAATTTGTGTTTTATCGCTTCAAAATCAGGTACACATTTTAAAGTTATCAAGGCCCATTATGTCCAGGAAACGCCTTTATTTTTACTTCTCAAAGGCCTTATTTTTTAGTGTTCAGTTTCCAAACTTTTACTCATCGGCAAGTTACCTGAACCATCTTTTGCATCTGTTGCCTTTTGGCAATTAGTACAGTTGTAGTAATTTAGTAATGTGAATGGAAAAATTTAGTAATTTGTATTGAAATTAAAATACTACTTTGTTTATATTCCGCTACTTTTATGACAAAAATATTTCACATTCAGCGCTATTCATTCAGGTTGATAAACATCTTACATGCTATCAAATCATTGTTTTTACCTGACAAAAGCCATGTTTTCTATTTCTAAATCATGAAATATTAATTTGTTTCTGAGGCATAATGTGCCTTTAATATTTAATACATTGTTTTCATAGATGAAGTTTTTTAACATCTATGTCCCATCTTTATTAAAAAGGATTACAAATGTAACGCCATTAATTATTATACAATATAGAACAGTTGTCAACAGTCCCCAGGAGTTAAGTAATCATTTTAAGCGGACTACGCGGAAATTATTATATTAAATTAATGTATCTGTCATTAAGAAAGCCAGAGTCCAGGAGCGTTTTTATAATTGATATTTTTAATTTTTTATTGTTTAAACATTTTTATTTACAAAAAATATAAATGTGTTTATATTAGATAATGATATTAGACAACGGTATTAGATAAATCTTAAACAATTACATAGTGAATAGAACATAAATATATGGCATCTAAGTAATAGAAGGCGCGGCGAAACAGACGAAGCTATCTAGATGGGTATAACGGAGAGCAGTCCCCGAGTATAGTAGTAATATGGCCGAGTTGTTTGATGTTATCATAGCCTGTAAATCCCAGATTTTTATTTAAGCCAGATTGCGCATGTAGACTAACGAGTAACGTTCTAATAGTCGGTTCAGATTATAAATGTAAATAAAGAAATGAATAGTTGAGTATTAGAAATTTGATATTTTATCTTAAGTTTTTCTGGGGCTGGCATATAAACCAGTACATTTTGACTGAAAATTTATTTGAACATTTTTACTTTCAGTTTTTTACCGTCTAGCCTTCATAATGATGTCACTATAGTGCAGGAAATTTGTTCATACTCGCATTCCAGTTACCAATGTGTGCTGCCTTTGGGCAGACGTTTTATCCCAAACACATTTTCAATGCTTAGGTCACTAAGCTAAAATATCATTTCCTATTGTGTAATATTTACATCTAATTAAGTTATTCAAACAGATTATATATAATACATCACAATGTATCATATTCCTTCAGAAAGATTTGAATCGCAAAAACTTGTGTTCATCTACTTTGTTTACATTGTAAAACCCTTTCGTTACAAGTCTCTGAACGACAAAAAATACAACAGTGCCAAGATTTTGTCAGTTTAAATCAACAAATAACTCTAGCTAATATCAATTATTCTTCTCATTCTACGTTCTAACTCGTAATTTCCCTTATGGTTTCTGTTCCCAAAAGACATAAAAAATATCTTATTTGTTCCAGCTTAATTGTTATTTTGTACGAAGATTTGAAAGATCTAAAATAAAACTCAAATCATTTGCTATCTCCAATTACCCAGAATTGTCAATTTTATTGTATGAGATAGCACAAAATTGAAAGACGCTATTAAAGAATCGCGTCAAAAATCGTACAAAAATAATTTTACTTTCAGTTTTTTAGTTATCTATTGCATAATTTCTTTAAATATAAATCACGTTTATAGGCTTTTTGTCCCCTGTGTAACTCCTTTTAAAATAAACCGTTTCCCTCTTCAGTCTTTTATGCTCAAACATTGTGTATATGTTGTAAATGTATTAAGATGTCAGATTCCAATACCAGTATTTTGATAAAAGGTGAAATAAATGCACGTGGTCTTATTCTATCCTATGTCCAGTTTATAAAGATCCTTCGATACTTATGTTGTTGTTTTTTTTGTGTGTGTTTTTTTTTTTGTTTTTGTTTTTTTTTTGTTCTTTATTTTGTTTTTTCTAAACTAACTTTAATAAGGTGCAGAATATAATACTTAATTACATAATGGTATTCATACACCCTTATTGAAAACGAAATATATTCAAATGTTGCGGAAATACCAATTTTCATGTTAAAAAGAACATATTTAATAAATAGGTCATCAAAGAAAGAAGTAGTTATTTTCTTATATATCAATATCTACTTATCGGAACATGTATCACATAAAAACAGACGATGTGTTTGAGATTTGACAGATACAATCAAAAACAGAAATATAAATCAGTACATTCTTCAATTATAACCCTACGAGAAAAACAACATCAATTTATTTCTGTAAAATTTAGACAAGCTGTCGACACACTGGCTGTTTGTAAATATAACCATTTATTTGTTCCAACAATTTGCCGTGAAACAAATGTTTTAGAGACAATCATCGGTTGCATAATCTATTATGTTTCCCCAAGATTCATGTTATGTTGTAAAATTTTAAAGATTTTATCTCTTACACTTGACGTTAATTATTAGATTATTTGAATGATTATTACAATTCCGTTTTAATGTTCTCTCGTGGAGACAGAAAACCTTAAACCAGATATTCTTTAATGAGATACAGTGTAATTCCTTTCATTCCAATTATCATTGTCAGTATACTTAAAAAGCAATATATGTTAGATATTGCGACAAATTTAGAAACATTTATAAAGATCACAATGGTAGCTAAACTATTCAGGCCACTCTGCGATGTCAATATATTTTCAGAAAATGGACAGTCAATATATCATCATGTTGTCACTATTGGCTCGTTAAAAGTCAATTACCTATTATACAGAAAATTTCTTATATCATTATATACCGGGCACACAATTAAGAAATGAGTTTCATCTTCTATTAATCCTGATTGACACAAAGTACATTGTCTTTGATTTGGCGCTTCTCCTACATATCTTCCGGTTTCTACACGTAAGGGCAGAATACCACACCGAAATTGTGCATAGATTGAGCGTTCATTTCTTTTAAGATTTAGTGACAAATAGCTTTCACCTGAAAATTGAGTCTTAAATGTTTTGTAAGTCCGTAATTTAGGGACCTTTTCATAGTCGATTGTCCATATATTTGCATAATACTCGAAAATTTTCAATTCAATATAATCCATATTCACTGTTAATTTATTGTCAAAGTGGTTGGATAAGTCTAACTTAGACATAATGGTTTTCACTTCACTGCACCAGTTACTTGTTGCGCTTGATTTATCGTAATCCATATTAAACACTCGTTTAGCAATATATTTGAAACTGTATTTACAACATGCTTTTTACCTCCAGTACATTACGAATAATACAACAGAATACAACAGGATAACATAGCAATGTGTTCCTTTTGAATTAACAAAATTGATGTATTATTTGTAAAATATAGATGTTTTAGAACAAGTTACATTATATCTAAATACATGTAATGAATAATGATAATTCAGCTTAGACTCTATTTAAATGTTGCAAGCTTTACAATTATAAAAAAAGTGTTGATCACTACCCTTTAGCGAATATAAAGAGAAGCGTCTGGATTTGCAAGAAGCAAGTTTTACACATCATTTTATTAATGTGTAATAAAGACCAAGAATGTCGTTAATATAGATATTATGTCGTGAAAATTAACATGTTCTCCCCTCGTTAAAGCCAGACAAGGCCTAATCCTGCCCCTGTCATAAAGTGGGGAAAATTATTAGAGATTTTGGAAAATTTGAGAAACTTTAAAAAGTTGGAAAACAATCTTAAACATGATTTGAAAGTTTTTTTAAAAATATTATATCTATTTTAAGCAACATGTCAGAACAGTTGGATTTTTCTCAGAAGTTGAGACAGTTTGATATTTTTGGGCTGCTTTTGGGATTTTTCTTATCAAATTGGAGAAAAGGGGCTATTTTGGGTTGGTTTGGTCCCTGAGTAAAATGTCCTTTCTGCAAAGATCAGATTATTCTTCTTTGTAGGTTTACTATATAGACAGCATACTAAATGGAGAGCATAGTTCAATATGTTTAAAATATTCGCAATACGAATCTTATATATCATACCACCTGTATTTTACTTTTCAGGTAAACTTGTGCCTTTGATGGAGAATGGTGCATTACATGTTTCAATATTGACAATGTTAGCTGTAACTTTTGAACGCTACCAAGCCATTTGTCATCCATTCAAGTTCCGCATGGCGTCTACTATAACGGCTACTTTAAAATGCATTCTAGTCATTTGGATAATTGGACTGTTACTCAGTTTACCAATTCTGTTAATGACTGAATACGAAGACGCTATATTCTATGACGGTTCTCCAATTAAAGTTTGCCGCACGAAAGTAAATGAAACATGGCGCGTCTGTTACACAATATTCATCGTCATCGCGTTCTTTGTAGTACCTTTATTTGTATTGATATCATTCTATACCTGCATAATTAGACAGCTGATGTCTGATAAACTAAAATCCCTCGCAAAAAATGATCGAACAGCGATAAAAACTTTAAAATCAAGAAAACAAGTTGTACGAATGCTCATTTTTATCATAGTACTGTTTTTCGTCTCTCTTTTCCCAATAAGGGTATTTTCTCTTTGGCTTGTGTTTGCTCCAACAACTGCCTTGATAAAACTTGGACTTGAAGCGTATCTGAATTTGATTTCTTGGGCAAGAATTATGATGTACATCAACAGTGCCGGAAATCCTTTGATATATAGTTTGACATCAACAAAGTTCAAAAAAGCATTCAAAAATACCATACGATTAAGACGCCGGGCACAGACGACAGATGTTACATCGAATAAACAACTCAATCTGCGGACCCACAAACATATGCAGGGTATTATATTTTTTTCTTAATATTATTCCATTAACGAAACTTATGATTATAAAAAGTAACACTTACAGTTTTCAGAAATGTACCAATGAGCTTACTTTTAATTCTACACTACAATTTGCATATTTTCAATTTGAATTTCAAATATTTATAAAAACAATAGAAATGTATCATTTTGGTACTCATATAAGATATCGTTTGAAAAAAAATGTATTTTAAGTAATTGAGTATGAATATTTATGTTATGAAAAATAATATTTTTTCCTACCTCATTTTATAATCTGCTATATAACTATTCTATAATGTCGAATAATGTATATTACAATTGCCAATACCATCCATATATGAGCCGCGTCACGACAAAACAAACCAACATAATGGGTTTGCGACCAGCATGGATCCAGCCCAGCCTGCGCATCCGCGCAGTCTGATCAGGATCCATGCTGTTCGCTTACAAACTCTATAGTATACAAGTAGAGAAACCGATAGCGAACAACATGGATCCTGATCAGACTGCGCGGATGTGCAGGCTGGTCTGGATCCATGCTAGTCGCAAACGCACTATGTTGGTTTTGTCGTGACGCGGCTCATATCATAATTTGTGCGTGTTTTGTTGTTACGTCTGATACTAAATACTACAAACGCTATAATTTATTGTATTAGTGACCTTTTATAATTATAGACCAATTTAAATTATTGTAATAAAGAATAAAAATTCTTATGAAAAAACAGGTATGAATATAGTTTACACATGCAGCAGTAAATATGCAATGTCAAATTTAAATGTACCGTCACTATGTTAAAACTTAACGGCTGTTGACAAAATATAACGCTATGTTTTACTGAGGAACGACAAACATGTTTCAACATTTGATTACAACACATCCGAGCATCTGATACTGGTTAACGTTTCATCAGGGTCCCATATAACTAAAGGAGTTGTGCATTTTTTTTGAAATTGCCAGTATGGTTTTTGCTTTGCTAAATCGTAAAAACGAAAACAATTATAAATAACGCAATAAATTAATATTTTTGCAGCACATACTATTTAAGATCACGTTCAGCTTTATATAGATACGCCTTAAATAACTTATTTTACGGCAAGACATGCTGGTAATTTGACAATGAGTGAGCATTGTTAAAGAGTAAGGTGTCGGCTTCTTAACACCGGGCGTATGGTTGCGATTCCTTAATATTTCGTCATATAACACTAGTGATGTTCATTTCCAGGACGAAGACTAAATTGTCAATTTAAATTGTAGGGTATATTCGATTGTTTATTCATAAAATTCATACAAGAGTATCATAGTTGAAAGACTGATGCTTATAAATGTGGTGCGTGTGAAAATTGTCGTTATACTAAAATAAGCCATAAAACATTCTGTCAAGAAACTGAATTATATTCTTTTTGGTGAAATACTGCCTAAAGTTACATAGACAAATTTTGCTAAAACTATCTTAAGATATGATCATAAGAAAATCTCTTGTTAGATCTATCATATTTACGGTAAATGTCGGTAAAATTGCAAAATTCCCTTTAAACAGAAAATGTCTATTGGTAATAATTAAGTATCTTTTGTACGGAAATAATTATGTTCTGCCTTTTTTAGAATTACAGGATATGAAGGAATTGTGCGATGAAACAGAAGAAAACAAAAACCCTTTGCTTGTTGTTAGACTTGTATTTACACCGGAAACTCAACAACATCGCCTTACTGATTTTAGTCAAGGTTACGTACCACTGCAGCTTAAAAGTGCCAACATACATTGGAATGATAAAGATAAAGGCAAAAACAACAGAAAAAAATATGATATAAATGTTATGGAACATACGATATAGTTTATGTTCTTTTCTTTTAAATATGTCTTTGTTTTCTTGTCTTTTATTTCTTTTAGTTAATGTTTAACGGGTATATCTATTGTTTGGCAATATTGACCTGAAGTATTTCATTCGGTAAAATGTTCTTGGATTTTGTCGATTTTCAAAGTTAAACCTATTAAAAGTATGGCATGAAAAATGTAAACGTAGCTCAGTCTATTAAAATCTTACTTTTTTGCATAATATTTGAAATACAAAACAAACTTCAAATTATTCGATTTTATTGAAATTCTTAATTGATATGATGAAAATGAAATAAGGATCCATCGATTAATATACGGTGAAAAAAAAACAACAAATATTAATAAGTGAGAAGTATTATAATTTTTTCCCAAATATTTGTATAGAGTATTTTTGAGGATTAAACCTCGGATTAAAACCTCGGTTTAAAACAAGGCCGCTGTGCTGGCCACTTGATTTCAATTAGAAGACAATCATCAAAACAACGGTTGGGATCATAGTTCCAGGGAGCAAACTAAATTAAGTTATAAAGTCAAAATTGTCAGACTTCATATTATAATTGTTACACATTATTGTAACCGATTATTGTAACCAATGGTATTTGACAGTTAATTTTGTAAAGACGATAGTTTAAGTATTTAGACAGAGTTGTAGCATACGATTTTGGTGAAAGTGGGCATAAATGATCTAATGATGGGTTTAATCGTTTTTCGCAAATTTTAACAGGAAAGATTCCTGAAGCGCGTTTTCGGTCTAACTGAATGAATGTAAAGAAAATGTCATTTTACACGAAAATTTTAAATCGTAACGTATGGTAGTGTACTGAAGACAGCAAAAAATATTAAATTAACTGCTTTCAAATGTCAATTTGTGTGAAATTTTGGTTTTTGTTTAGCGGGAAACAATATTACTAAAGTAATTAGTAATGTACAGTCTATGTAATCTATGTAAGCTGAACTACACTCGGGAGTGGGGATATACTTTGGAGAGCAACAATATTTATTATAGAACAACAATATTGATATAATAGCTGCATGTCAACATACACTTAGTAACACTAATAAAGCATTGCCAATAACAAACTTTGGCAATTAACAAAACAAACTCGTAATTATAAACATAACGCCACAAGACGTAGAAGATGCCTTGAAATCCCCGGACATCCACAAAGTCACCGGTCTTGATGCAGTTAGTAACCATATTTTGCGGAAACAGCATGGGAACTGAAAATTTAACTCTATTTTCTATTTTCATTTCTTTTCTTCGATGAAGCATGGTTCTCTTGTCTTGGAAGGAAGCCCATGTTTGTGTTGTAATCAAGAAAGGCCAAACATCCAATATCGCTACCATGCTGTCCTGAAAGGTTTTAAACGAGTTGTATTTTATCATTTATTTAATTTCTTTCGGGACACCAACATTCTCTTCTCACAGTCCGATTTCACACCAGTGGAATTATCTGTCAATCAGCTTACGTCCATAAATAATACATTTTGTAAAGCTCTTGATCCGCAAAGCTCCCGATGAAGTTTGGCACAAAGGTCTCATTTTCAAATTAAAAACTGCTGTGCAGGATGGACGTCTTTTGGTATAGATTTCTATCTCTTAGATCGTCGTTAAGTTGTTACTCTTCCCAGTACAAGATCAAATTGGTAAAGTGTCAATACTACGGTTCCTCTATGTTCCATCTTGGACCCCTTGTTCTTTTTGATGTAAATCAACGACATTGCCGATAAGCTAGGATTAGATGTTCATTTATTTGCTGACCGGTCTTCATATCATCTTAGACTATCTCCAATCATCTGCCGAAAATTTGCAATCCAACATTGGTAAAGTTTCCGTTTGGGCTTCTCGATGACCAGTTACCTTAAATCCAAAAAATCTGAAACTGTATTCATTTCCAGAAAGTCTCAATAACCATTACATCCACAATAATTTATGAATGGTACTCCGATATCGTCAGTTTTCTATTACGAACAACTTGATGTCACCATTTCTATCGGTATTGGCGGATCTTGGTATATACAAATGTACATATCAATTCTAGAACGAGCTTGAAAGAGAATTTATATTATGAGATCATTAAATTTAAGCTAGATTGAAAATCCTTTGAAACCCTATTCTCTGCATTTAACAGAGCAGTCGTATTACATGACAAATATACTCAATATGAAAACAAAACACTAAACAGCATCCAAATCGAAGCAGCTCGAAATACATGTAGTTTTGTGTGCTACAAAACTTGTCTCTCTCAATGAACTTCAAAATAAAGGGCCCTTAGAAACTCTTCATACTAGAATAAAAAACACAAACTAACAATTTTTACAAGATGATTCACAATCTAACACCAACTGTCTTTCTTCTCTAAGCTCAACATCCGTAGGAAATACTTTTAGATATAACCATGCTTTATGAAAATCCGTTTCTGCCGTCCGTAATACGGGACTGGAATGTTCTTTCTTCCAAAATTCAAAATTCTTTATCACTTTCATATTTCAAATGCAAACTGAAACATAATTTAAGATAATCTTAAATTGATTTTCTACATTGGGAATAGAAAACTGTAAGTTATATACATACGATTTAGGATTGGTTGTAGTTTTCTTAATCACCATCGTTTCAGAAAGAACGTTTCTTAATCGGAACATTGTTTCTGTGGTCTTAATGAAATTATGCATCATTTCTTTTTTCCACTTTATAATGATATAAGAGAGTGTTTCATGAACACCATATCTATCGCTGCAAACATTACTATATGGCGACTGTAGCATGAGTGATAAAACAAAATGTAATATTTCCCTTGCTGTTCAAGATAACATCAACAAATGCAAGAGATTTCCACAAAACCCTATTTCTCTTTTATCAATGCTATGCTGATCGTGCCGTCTGAAAACTAACTATATTTTTCCTTCTTTACCTCTCTTTTTCTAATTCTTGAAGGTTACGTTGTTTTTATGGTTATTATTGTTGTTGTTGTTGTTGTTGTTTGTTTGTTTTTTTACATCATATAATTTTGAAACCCTCTACCAATCAACTTCTTGCTCATAACTATATTTTGTATATAACATAAAATGTCTTCTTAACAAAAGTTCTAAACATATCCATGTACATACATATACACAGGGCCAATTTTTAGCAAACAAATAATAGGATAAGACCTTCGTCAGCTTTCGGATCTGATCCTTTTTTTATTCCATACGTTGTAAAGTTTCGTTTGTAAAATGTAAATATGTATACTTGTTTAAAATAAAGTATGTTTAAACTAAAGCTACCTTAGTTTAGTTGAAATAAAAATTTACATATTATATTACAGAATCTAAACTTAATGGGGTTAAAAATTTAAGGAAATGAGCAAAAATGTGAAGTATGTATTTTTTCTGATAGCGAAGATGAGTTACATTTAAATAAAAATAGATTAGAATGATATTTTTGGGAATAGCATACATTTTTTTATGAAACATATGTTGAAAATGGCGTTGTTCTAAACAAATTAGTACATATGTGTTAAAAAAATCACATAAATCATTTGAGGTCGTCAACCATTCCGTCATTGTGCTCAGCCAATGGTTCGATCTTACCCCGATATTGATTTGATCGTGCCTGACAAGAGTTCGTAATCGCCAACCATATCGTCATCGTGACCCAAACAATGGTTTCAAATCGCCAATTATATCGACAAGAGGTCGAACTCGCCAACGTCTGTAGACCTAACGGTTTTCATTAAGTACTAATCAAAAATAGTTTGAAAATGTAACAATGAATAAACTATTATGGTATAATAAAGGCTTTGATATCATAAAGGAAATGGTTAACATAAACGTATCGAAATAATCACAAATAATATACCTGAATAAATAACAGTTATCAGCAAGTAAAGGAAATTAATATTTAATACTGTAGCTTTAAAAACAAGAAACATGGCAATGCCACGAAACCAGGTTTTCAATTATCACCATTGTAGATAAATATGTTGTATTTCAAAAACAAATACAAGCAACAAACAATGTAACTATGTGCGATGTAAAACATGAATAATGTAGGAGGAATTGCCACAGAAGAAGTGTTCACTATATATTCTGTATAAGGAAAAAAAACAAAGGGCCATAATTAGGCCAAATATTATCCAATCACAAAACCCCGACAATATGCCCCAGGACACTTGATGACAAAGCTTCTGTGAAAGTTTGGTAAAAATCCATTGAGAAATGTAACAGAAGTTGCGCACGGTAGAAATTGTTCACTTAAAATATATTCTGTATAAGGAAAAAAAACAAAGGGCCATAATTAGGTCAAATATTATCCAATCGCAAAACCCCGACAATATGCCACAGGGTACTTGATGACAAAGCTTCTGTGAAAGTTTGGTCAAAATCCTTTAAGAAATGTAGGAGTTGCGCACAGAAGAAATTGTTCACTATATATTCTATATCAGGAAAAAAAACAAAGGGCCATAATTACGTCAAATATTATCCAATTGCAAAACCCCGACAATATGCGCCAGGACACTTAATGACAAAGCTTCTGTGAAAGTTTGGTAAAAATCCATTGAGAAATTTAACAGAAGTTGCGCACGGTAGAAATTGTCCACTTATAATATATTCTGTATAAGGAAAAAAAACAAAGGGCCATAATTACGTCAAATATTATCCAATCGCAAAACCCCGACAATATGCCCAAGGGTACTTGATGACAAAGCTTCTGTGAAAGTTTGGTCAAAATCCTTTAAGAAATGTAGGAGTTGCGCACAGAAGAAATTGTTCACTATATATTCTATATCCGGAAAAAAAAACAAAGGGCCATAATTACGTCAAATATTATCCAATTGCAAAACCCCGACAATATGCGCCAGGGCACTTAATGACAAAGCTTCTGTGAAAGTTTGGTAAAAATCCGTTGAGAAATGTAGGAGGAGTTGCGCAAAGAAGAAATTGTTCACTATATATTCTATATAAGGAAAAAAAACAAAGGGCCATAATTAGGTCAAATATGATCCAATCGCAAAA